TGGACATGAAGATTGACAGCAAAATTAACTGCCGGCAAGCAGTTAGTATATTGTATAACCTTGTATTATATATATTGTATTGACACCATCCCTTACCCCTCCTAAGCTAAGTCGACGACCTATCCTGGATCCTTAGATGCCTTTTAGCAGAAACTAAAAGAAGTTAAAGTTATTCCATAATCAAACAAAGAAAGAATTGAAACAAGTGGTTGGTACAGTAAATGAAATGTTTCGGAAATTGTTTTACCATGAGATTTGCGAACTCTGTTGTGAATTTGTTTAAGAATTTAGGTCGTTTTAATAACTTAAATCAAAAGCCTGTCCGCGTCACATCGATCTTCTTTAGATGGAGATAGATTGTTTATTCAACCTAAAAACTTGCAGCCAAAGGGCTGATTCGCGGTAAGGTTACAAATGTAATAATTTTACAACTAACTAAAGAAAGATAACCAGGCATAATTTACAATTTTAAAACTGTTACAAAATCCGAAATTCAAAAGCATGCGTCGAGTTCCTATTTTAACTTAGTTCTCACTGTTTGGAAATGGAAATGAACTCACGGCTCTTTTGTCCAGTTAATGGAAATGTAAATAGCTAAAAACTTCGACACTGCGGTTTTAATATAACGCCATTTAGCTAGGGATGACCGATAGTGACGCTCGTATTATATACAGTCGACTCCCAATGACTCGAACCTTCAAGGGAAATCGAAAAGAGTTCGAGTTATCGGGAGCTCGAAGAAAATAGACGGGAGTTTTAAAGGAAAAAAAAACGGTTTTTACTGCATCGTGAACATTTTAATCACATTTAATGGTCTTTAATTGTAGAAATGTCAATTGAAAATTAAAAGATACTTCTAGATTATAAATCAGAACGTAACGTAACAAAACCGTGATTGCCGAAATAGTGCATTCGTTTTACTGTTTTGAGAAGTAAAGCTGATTCACGTTAGATTTGTGACAAACAACATCAGCCTCCACTAGTAAACTGTATGCCTACAACACGTCAATGGAAAATTCAAAATTCAATGTAGAGCCAGTAGACTGTTTTTTCTCCGACTTTTAAGGGCTCAAAACACGGTTCGAGTTATCGAGGGTAAAATTATATAGAAATGGTCTGAGGGGAAACAAAAACTTCTTCGAGTTAGCGGGGGGTTCGAGTTATCAAGGGTTCAAGTTACCGAGGGTAAAATTATAGTAAATGTATGACGGAAATCCAGGAGAAATCGATTTTGGTTCCAGTTGGCGCGAGGTTCGAGTTAGCGAGGGTTCGAGTTAGTGAGGGTTCGAGTTATGGGGAGTCAACCGTAATTTGGCTGTATATCAATAACGTTTTACTCTCGGGGCTCTTGCTATAGGCAAGCACCTGCTTGAAATGTAACTACGGAACTACTAGTAAGAAAAACATCTGAAACAGTACAGAACACTAGACGACAATTACCGAGAGGCAAGAGATTACTCCTTCATGCAGCAAGACGACTTTCAAGGCAATCGGTTACTTCATCGCATCTAAACAACTTTGAATCCTTCTGGCCAGACTGTACTTACTCCGTTTTTTCTTGCCAAGAAGTATTTCTCTTCACGAGTACCTATTTTGATCAAACGGCACGCGTTAAAAAAAACATTACTGACTGGAAACAACCCATAATTAATTCCTGACGTTAATCTTCATGCTTTTTACCAGACAATTAGGACCGAAAATCTTAGAATCAATTTCCTGTAATAATGTTATTAAAAAAAACACGAAAACGAGTAAAACGATCGACAGTGAGAAACTTGAACGAGAAACATCGGAGATAAATTTAAAAGGAGTGAATCGGGTGGCTAAGAACTGAAATCGATCGCGTTAGGAAAAGGGAGAAAAGCAGTGTAAAATATTCTCGAATTATATATTTCGATTAAAACTACCAAGAAACAAATCTCTTTCAAATCAGATAATCCGCACCAGTTGTCTTAACTTTAAGTTTTCCAGGAGTATTAACTTATCAAGTCAAGGGAATGAAACACGGAAAGGTCTTCAAAAATCCAGAGATCACAAGAAAGGGACCAGGAATTTGTCAGAACGAAAACGTATCTGAATCTCTGAATTTAAAATCAGAACCACATTTCTCGAACATAGCCGATGAAAATCAACACTGTTCGTGCTTCATCTCTTTAAACAATTTTTTTTAGGGGATTAGTGATTAGTTATTTATAGGAAATAGCTGAACAATTTACGTTCAAACCCCAGGTGCATGCATGTGCAATGTTCATGGGATAACACATCCATTAGATAAATCATTACATTCTGCTTACCTGTCATGCAGATGTTGTTGGTATTGCAATAAACTGGCCTAACCAGTAATCGACAGTAAAATGATGTTTGACGGTAAGTGGTTCAAGAAAGCGTAATAACTAGTAATAATTGCAAATAAGGGGAGTGCGTTCGATGGGGAGGTGGTGGGGTTTGGTTGCGAGTGGTAGTCTAAGTGAGTGCAAAACGTGAGGAGCTTGTAAGTTTGAGAAATGAAAATTAAACACTTTTATCAATATGAATATCAGCAGCTGTCTTTATCAGTGTTATTGCTTAACCTCCCACTTTACAACTCGTTACTATTTAAGTTTCCCTAAAAAATGCAAGAGCGTCCTTTACTGTTTACATTTACTTGGCTTAAGAATGCAAGAGCGTCCTGTACTTTTTACATTTACTTGGCTTAGCCATTAGGCATAAAAGTACATGTAAATAACAGCAGATCAGACACTGACTGTGATCCTCAAGATATTCTTTTGCACTGTAGGATGGTCAATAAAATTGGCTAAATATTGGGCTACAGAAAATTAAAGTAATCTGCGCTAACACAACTCACCTACTAAGCATTTTTGTTTTTCATATAAAACGTACCCAGAATTAGTGAGATGCAAGGTCAACGTTTCACCGTTCAACTTCTATATATTTTTTTAAAATGGTGACAAAAAAAAAGCGAATACAGCGCTGTAGATAGCTTTTAAGAGCGAAAAATTAAAGATGTATTAATTGTGGTAGAACTAAAACTTATGCTTTAAAATAAAAAAGGCCAGGGTTAAAATTAATCATATCCCGTATGCAGAATTGAATTTGGTCCCCCAAGTGACGAGACAAATACGGCTGCGTGAGAGACTTAATTGAATACTAATGAAATGGAGAAAATCCATTTCTTCTCACTAATTTGCATTAGAATCACCACGTGTGAGGCCTTGTCCACACGAATCCGCATATTTGTGAAGCCGAAATTTTAAACGAAACATCTACCCTTCGTCCACGAAACCAGTGAATCTGCTTTTTTAAAACTGCTCTCCAAAGTGGCTTAGGGCAGCCTGTCCACACGATCGTCCCATGTAAGAGAATCCAACACGATCTTGGATTCTGGATTCCTCGGCGTGGACTGATCCGGATTCCAGGTACTGGATTCTGGTCTTTGTTAGAAGAACTTGGAGTTCGCATTCAATTCGTTAGTGAGATTCCGGATTCCTTGAGCTGAATTCCCGATTCCAAAGCCCAGGATTTCGGATTCCAGCAGAAAAATTTTTCCCAGGTTTCGGATTCCAGATGTTGCAATGTCTCCTCTTTTGTCTGAATCATCCAATGATTTACTTACGCTGCTTCACTTGTATAATTCGGAGTTATCTAGTGTTTTGGATAAGCATGCGCCATTAAAATCGCGCATGGTTACCATAAGTCCCGCTGCTCCATGGTTTAGTGAGGAGATTAAACTGGAGAGAAGAGTTCGTCGCCGACTGGAAAGGAGATGTCGTAGGACTAGATTGCCCGAAGATCGTCTGCGTTTTATTGTACAAAATCGTATTGTCAATGAGCTATTACTCTCTGTCCGCTCACAATATTACACCAAGTTTATTGATGATAATTGCCTTAATCAGAGGAAACTGTTTGGCATTGTCGGTAAGTTGTTACATCAGAGTCCTGCACCGCAGTATCCACCTTGCTCTTCCGTGGCGGATCTTGCAAATAGATTCATTGGCTTTTTTGGTGAGAATTACTATTGGACATGAACTGGAATCGAACCCTATGCAGGGAACTTATTTATTTAATGAAGTCACAGTAGCAACAACTAGACTCCATCGTTTGAGCTGTCCTTCATATTCGACCTTACTTCAGATTGTGCACCCTTTGGCATCAAAGTCTTGTGAACTTGACCCTGTCCCCTCTAGAATACTCCTTGGTTGTCTTGATCTCCTTTGCCCTGTGATCTGGAAAATTGTTAATCTGTCTTTGGAGACCTCTGTCACGCCCACTGAACTTAAACAAGCTGTAATTCGTCCTTTGTTGAAAAAGCCGAGTCTTGATTATCAAGAATTTAAGAACTTTCGGCCGATCTCTAACCTCACCTTCTTGCCCAAAGTCATTGAGAAAGTAGTGGTTTTGCAGCTTGTTGACTACATTGACAACAATGGTCTGTGTGAAGTCTTTCAGTCTGCCTGCCGTGCTCACCATAGCACCGAAACGGCTCTTCTCAGAGTCTACAATGACATTGCTATGTCCTTTGACAATCAAAAATCTGTTGTTTTGGTTCTACTGGACCTGTCTGCTGCTTTTGATACAGTTGATCATTCTCTTCTCCTTGCTAGACTATCTACCCGTTTTGGCATTTGTGACCAGGCACTGGACTGGTTTCGTTCATATCTATCTGATCGCACTCAGTATGTCAGAATCCAAGATGTCTCTTCTGATGTGCATGCCTTACCTTATGGTGTACCTTAGGGTTCCGTGTTGGGCCCCTTGCTGTATTCTTTGTACACTTCCCCCTTTGGTGATATTGCAAGATTTCATTGTCTATCTTATCACTTTTATGCTGATGATACACAGCTATATTTATCTTTTGAAACGTCATCGCCTGAGGATTTGTCAACATGTGCATCTGCTTTTGAAGATTGTGTTAAAGATATTGACCTTTGGATGTTAAATAACAAGCTGAGGCTGAACAGTGGGAAGACTGAAATTATAGTTTTTTCATCCTCCTATCACCCATGTCCTGCGTTAAAAACTTGGTGATTGCCTCTGACACTGTTGACTGTTCAACTACTGCTAAAAATATTCAGGTTATTTTTAATAACTCTCTATCGATGTTGCTGCACGTTACTGCACGTTACTCTTCGTTTTTTCATTTACGTAATATTTTTAAGATTCGCAAGTTTCTTTCTTACGATACATGTAAAACTCTAATTCATGCCTTTGTTAGTACAAGGATCGACTATTGTAACTCATTGCTCTACGGTCAGCCTAAATGTATCTTGAAACGTTTACAGAGTGTCCTAAATAGTGCTACTAGGCTTATTCACCTTACTAGTAGATATGAGCATGTTACGCCGTTGATTATTCAACTTCATTGGCTACCAATTGAACAAAGGATAACTTTCACAATTGCAGTTAAGTGAGAGATAAAGCCCTAGAACGGAGGTATTAAGCCATATACATCCCGAGGGCCGTAGGCCCGAGGGATGTATATGGATTAATACCGACGTTCGAGGGCTTTATCTAACTTATTTCATGATATTATTCATGAGGTATAGGCTACATAAAGGTCATCTTTCACAGGGCAATAATTGGCCACTTGTTTTTGACATCTGTTTGTTTGTCATTTTTTGATCCGACCGCAGACAATGACGTATTTCATTGTAAGTATTGTAAAGGTTTTCACACAGCATCGAGAAAGGGCGTTTCACGGGTCATAATTTGTTCAAACCATTTGTTCTCACTTAGGTGAGAAACGGAGAACAATACCGTATTGTTTGTTTTCTAAGCCGACAACAATCAAATTTCAAACCTTTTGTGTTTTTTAATTTTTGTCTTGGTACTTGTGAGAGCGGCAATGGATAGTAACGACGAAATTTTCCTAACGCAAAATACTTTCTCTCAGGAACCTTTTTTCCCCTGAGTTGAATTTGGAAGAGTTAGTGGGAGACTTTAGAGAAGTAAGCGAACGAGACAGTGTTGAAGTCGAAAAGAAAGAAAATCCTGGGCGTAATATCGTTGTTGTTTGCGATAACGAAGTCGAGAAGAGAAGAGAGTCCAGAATACCGGCAAACACGAAAGTTAATACTTCATGGGCGGTACGTTGCTGGGAGGAATGGGCCGTCGAACGCAATGTAAAAGTTAAAAAGAATAGCAGTAAAGAGAAATACTACGAAGTCAATCCTGACATTAAGAAAGTCGCTAATGAGCAGCTTGACTACTGGCTTGGGAAGTTTGTTTTGGAAATTCGGAAGAAGAAAGAACGTGGAAGCGTGTAAGTGACGACGAAATTTTCCAAAGACTTAAAATTTTCTTAGAGTGAACACATAGCCTGCATGATATATAGGATACTACTGTATTTTCTATAGTTGCAGAATAAATTTCTATATTTGTGTTAAGGGGAGAAATTTTCTCAGAATGATTTGCTTTAATTGCTCATTATAAATGGAAGGGATTTATTTGTATATTGCCCAGGGCAGCAGGGCAATATACAGATAAATACCGGGTATTTATATAGATATTGCCCTTGCATTTATAATTAGCAATTTATTCAATTCATCAGCCCCGCTCTTCCCTGCTACATTATCAAGCCCTCCCCGGACTTTCAGTTAGTTAAATATTCATGAAGTATGTAAGTTAAATAAAGGATGTTGAATAACAAAAGAAAATGTGTGATTCATGAAATAATTACATTTAAGGCGCTTCATGGTGCTGCACCTAGCTATATCACTGATCTCTTCAAGCCTTATAGACTTCTTAGATCCTCCAATCAATTTTTACTTTCTACATCTAAATTTAATCTTAAAACTTATGGTGGCAGGTCTTTAACTATTGCTGCACCTTCTGTTTGGAATGCACTTCCATTCGAACTTAGATCTTGTAATTCCCTTTCTTCTTTTAAATCTAAGCTCAAGACTCGGCTTTTTAAAATTGGTTATGATGTTGTCGTATAGAATGATGATTTTTTTATAGGATGACAATGTAGTTTTGTAGTTTTGTAGGTTTAGGATTTTGTTGTTATTTTTATTATGTAAAGCACTTTTGGACCATTGGGAATTAGCGCTCTATAAATAAAGTATATTAGTATTATTACTATTCCATCAGCCAAAATTTTTCGGAGTCCAGAATCCCTCACATGGGGCAAACACGAATCCGGGAAACAAAATATGTGGTTTCAAAAACGCACAGATTCGTATAGAGAAGGCCTAAAATGCCGCGACGTTTGAACAGGGCCTAAACAAAACAATTGTTGCCTTGCGTCAGGTATCCTGAAAAAAAAAACTGAAACAGGGAAATGTTTTCTCTTAAGAGCCTGTTTATTGTTTTTATAAATTTACACCGAAAGGTAGTCAAGTTTGATAAGTTCACTGTTAAGCCATCATCAATAACACTAACAATATGTTTGATAACTTGGAATGTACAAGGTGTACGGCCGGTCAGTGCAAACGAGCCAAAAAAGGTAGAAGAGCAGAGAAAAAAGAGCGAGTGAAAGACGGCGGGAAAAGAAAAAAAAGAGAGCTTATAGGCATCTTTTTAAACTGACCTCAGTTCGCCCACTACCCGCCGACTTCCAGAAGTGTCAAAATGTGCGGTGTAGGAGGGTTTTCAAACGCTTGCCATGTTTGTTTGAGTCACAAAAACGTGATTGACTTAAGTGATGACGTAAACTGTCAAATTTAACCAATCGTACTGTATATCAGAATGAAGTATTGAAAAAAATGCTTACGGGCCTGACAGTCTACGGGCCTTACTTCCCAGTCTCTCCCCAGCACCCACTCACTCAAGGAGTTTGAGGCTTGAGTCAAAGGTGTGCTCGGAGCATATGACTGATTTGCTATAGAAAGACATCTTTAGAGTCAAGTTAACGGTGAACGGCAAACGTAGTTGAGAATTTCTCAAAACAGAAAATGAACAGATAAAAACTGTCCAAAACAGTTCTTATGGATAAGACTAGCGTGAAACTACTAATTTTTGAGAGGAAGTAATGAACAATAAATGAAAGGTAAATTAAAACTTGGTCATGTGGAAAAAATTCACGTTTGCGGTTTGCCGTAAACCTGACTCTAAATCTCCTCAATATCTGTCGCTAGAAGACCTAGAACAAAATGAAATTTTCCGCGAAAGTAAATCCATTCTACAACAACGGGCCGGCTTCTCTTAAGTATTTCATTTTGTGTGTAAAGCATGCATACTTGATTTTTACCCTTTTCCGTGTAATTGATCGTGCTCTCTTGTCTTATCTAATTAATTTTCCTTTTTCTTATAACACTTTTTTTTTCTTTACATTCTATTTTTACGAATCTACCTAATAATTTTTATTTATTTATTTCAGCCTTTGCTACTTGCGGGTTGTATTTTAATTTTATTTTCTTACAAGGATTTTGAAATAAAGTTGTTGTCGTTGTCATTGCTTGAGGTCTTCTTGTGCCTTAACGTTTAATTGTGGTCACGTGACATGTCACGCGACCAAAAATTGAAAATGAATAAAATTGGCGAATTGGCGAAAAAGGTTTGTCCAGGAATCGAACTCAGACCCAGGAAGACACAAAACCGACCTGATATATTTTTTCCTTTCTTATTTATTATCAGCACGTTAGATTAAGTAGCATTTTGTTTCTAGTTTGTCCAAGTCTGTTTCAGAGGGGTCTTAGAGCCTGAGAGACACTGAAAACTTTGTTCATGGGCTTTCATACCCCCTGCTTGAACGACTACTGTGTAGAACCGTTTTTCCCGGGTTTTAATCTTTAATTTTTTCTAACCAGCAGTGAACAAGGTCCAGAACAGATTTGGTTTTAAACAAAGAGTCTTTTTGTGACAATATTTATTGACACTGCTCTCGAGTAAGATTTGTACATTTTTAAACTGCAGTATTTCGAGATATCTACTTAAGGTACATAAATGCAATGAGATATTTAGTTGCATTTCACAAGGCTTGTAATTCCTTGTCTTATCTGAGAATTCCCTCTGTAGTACAGCACCGGGTTGATACCAGAGCACAGTGTAGCCAGAGTAAAATACAAGGGCTCTGCAAAGGGGCTGAGGTTCGTTCGAAGAATGTTCGACACAACCACTAATATACACACAGGAATAAGAATTATCCCTAGTAGACCAACAACATGGCGAGTGAGGATAGCCAGCCTGCGCTCCAGGGCGTTTCCGCGGTTGTTCCTTTGGGCGCTTCCTTCAGCCAAGTTTGCCACTCCATTGTTGTGCTTGCGAAGCACCAGCAGGGTGAACAGCTGAAGGACGATTATCAGGGACGAACAAATCACCATGTAGCATGCCTCAAACAGCTCGACCACCTTTCGAGGAAAGAGGACGATTTGTTTTAGGATCACCATTGCCAACGTAATGAGCCACACTCCACAGCAAGCTGTTATAATGTGGCGATTTTTGATAACCACTTTGTACCACATCGGTTTGGAAACAGCCAAATACCGATCTACGCTCATGACGCCAAGAGTTCCCACCGTAGAAAATACACAAAGAAAGAAAGATGTAACCATAATGGGATTATCCCAGTCGCTTTTATTAGCACAAGCTCGGCCAGTAAGGAGCTCTTTGATCCTGAAACTCACGTACAATGGGATCACCAACCCCGACCACAAGACATCGGTCGTGGTCAAACTGCAGAGACAATAAAACCCTGCACGCAATTGAAGCTTGCCCCTAATAAACATCAGCAGGACAAACCCATTTGACAGGAAACACCACGAAGCCAAGAGGATAGTTACTGGAGTAAGAGCAAAGTTAGAATAATAGAAGTAGTTAAGTTGCAGTGTCTCCGAGAATCCTTGGAAGAAACATTGTCGCCCTGTGTCTTTCACTTTCTGGTCTTGAAAAACGTGCAGTATGTGATTTTTGGTGGTGTTTTCCATCTTCACACTCCTAGAGAATGATGAATAACAACTGCGTTAATTTAATAGCACCTTTGTATGTTATGTGTATAGGTAATAGTATGATTTGTAGTGATATTTGGCATAAATACCACGAGTGATATTTCGAAATTGCTATACGTAATTTTGGACAATTTCGAAATATCACGAGTGGTATTTATGCCAAATATCACGGACAAAACATGCTATTATTTGTTTATACTACTACCCGCAAAAGGTTTGTAATTTTCACATGTAGGTATTTCAAATTCAGCTGAAATACCACTGCTCTAAGCCAATCAAATTGCAGAAATTTCTCATGTAGTAGCATAAGCATAAATACCACTCGTGGTATTTCAAAATTAACTCAAATTTCATTCACCTAATGGCTCGTGAAATTACGTGTAACAATTTTGAAATAGAGTTTGTCTAATGGTCGTGGGTAGTGGGATCAAGTCGTGGGTCGTGGGTGTGGGTGTGGGTAAAAGTCGTGGGTGTGGGTAATGATTAAAAAATAATTTTTAACCATAATTAATAATTAACAATGTTACTAATTTTTGTTAAATATTAATAATTTACAATATTACAGGTTTGGGATTTTTTTTAACTACTCTATAACTAATAACATAACAAAACAAACATAACATAATGTATGAAAATGGGTGGGGTTGGGTAAAGGTAGGAACTCATAGGAGCTATTTTCAGGACTGGTGTAATCTGTTGATAATATTTTGAGAAAATTTGTTTCGGTCAAACGCTTGAACAACACGCACACAAGTTAACTTAATGTTAAAATGAGCAAATCGGAAAATTAAGGAAGCCGGGATCAGTTTCATATAAGAGAAGTGAATCATTATTTATCTGAATAAGCAATACGATGCTTATCTTTGAATTGATCCCAATTAGTAGACACAAAAGAAAAGCAACGAGTTTGGGGCAAAAAACACTTTATTATTGAAAACTACAGGCTATACCGCCGGTCTTGCTTGTAAAACTCACATTTCTTCTGAAAATTAACATGGAGGTCGATAGTGAAGACGCCACCTCTCAGTGCCTGCTTAACACAGAAGCCGCAACCTCTCAGAACCTGTTTAACACAGAATACGATCAACTGATCGGTGGAGAAGACGCAAACAGCAGCGAAAGCGAGGACTATGGGCTGACAAGTTACCAACAACCTCCACCACAAGTACCACTAAGAGGGAAGAACGACGCAAAAAAGAAAAATTTAAAAAGGAAAGCAAGCGAAGTTCCATCCGCAACAACAGCAAAGATAAAGAAAACAGAAGAATCCATTACACTACTGGGAAATCATTTGGAAAGGAACACTTGTCCGAAGCCACTTAAATACTCTGCATGGGCCAACATACCGGCAGACGAACAATTTAAAAAGGACATTAAGGCCATCAAACAGAAAGCCTAGCGCGGTTTTGTCGAAGCCTAAAACTAAGTTTCAGGAAATGTCCATGGCAAACCGTAAGGGCCGTACGGACAGCAAAAATGTAAACGTATCTACTACGCACAGAGGATCGTAATGAAATCAAAGCTTTAGCTTCAAAACTTAAAGAACAATACGATTACCTTATGTCAAAACTTGATAGAGACACAAAGAATAAAAATTGTGAAAAGTACTCACAAGTGTCTGTTAAATGTGTGAACAACACCGTGGGTGGGTCAAACAAAATTACAGGGAAATCTAGCCTGAGTATCAGGCATTTCTGGGGGGAAAGAGGAAAGATGGAAGGGAAAAAGGGAGAGAGCTCCCCCATCAAAAATCTCCTCTCCCCTAGCCCCTTAGGAAGGCCTGATACTCAGGCTATTATTCAGCTGTAATAAAAAAGCTTTACGCTTCGAAAGAGGTCAAAGAAAATGCGCTTGTATCAGAGGGCAAATCCTGCCGAACAGAAACAATAACTACAGTAAATCGATATGTGTGTCAGGCCTCTCAGTGTGAAACCTGCGGCTTAAATCACATTTGCTCAGTGAAAATGTAGAACCTTCCAGAGCATAATCTAAGCAGCATTTTGGCATGAGGTAAAAGTCGTGTAGGCCTACCACCCCCTTTTATCGCTATTTAG